TAAATGACCTCCTGAGGTCCCTTCCAACCCTGATTTTTTATGATTCTATGAGCGTCTTCATGTACCCATACAGCAACGTTGCTACTGTGCCACACATTGCTTAGTACTTCCTTTTGTTTGTCTTATGCTTGACATTGCAGATTTCTGTGCTCAGTAAACTCTTTTTTTAGAGAATAGACTATTCTTGTCCACGTCATTGTCATGACTCCAGTGCCACCATGTAAAGTTTAATACTGTATTAAGTCCAGTATCAGGGGCTGTCTGTAAGCCAAGCCAGGTTTGTCCCCAGAGGCTACCTTAAGACAGTGATCCTTTTCCAGGAGGGATTGGAAGTCATTAATCATGTGTCTAAAGTGTTCAAGCTGGGGACTTCAAGGGACAACCAAAAAATTCTGTTGTCCTTGGTGTTGGTACTGTAGCAGGCCAGAGTGAGGTCTGAGTCTGGCTTTGTTGATTTGGGTGGCTACAGTTTTGGGCTTCTACTTCTGGGACAGGACAGTAAGGGAAGTTTAAGTTTGATATTAGGAAAAACTTTTACACTAGCAGTGTTGTGAAACACTTGGAAAGGCTACCCAGAGAGGATGTGACATCTCCATCCTTAGACGTTTATAAGACCCAGGTAGACAAAGCCTCAGCTGGGATGATCTAGTTGGGGCTGGTCCTGCTTGGAGCAGGGGGTTGGACTAGATGTGACCTTCTGAGATCCCTTCCAGCCCTCGTTGTCTGTGGTTCTATGATCCTTAAGGCATTCATCCCTATCAGTGGGATCAGAGCAGATATGGTTGTAACACAGAGCTTGGCTGTAGAGGATGGCTCTAGTGATGTGGCTTGTGGCATGAAGGTAGTTGTGGTGGTTGTTTGGTTTCTGATACAAGATAGCAGCAATGTGGCCATTGCTAACCTTCACTGTAGTGTCTGGGAAATGAATTTGATATGTGGAATATTCCAGAGAAGGTTTGATGGAAGGGTGGAAGTTGTTAAAATGCTGGTGAAATTTCTCTAGAGATTTCTTCCTGTGTGTCCATATTATGAATAAGTCATTGATGTCCCTGGGGAGGGGGAGAGGGAGGGAGATGGACCAGCAGGATGAGTGGGCAGCTGCTGGGGAAATGAACTTCAAGGTTTGTTATAAATATGCTGACATGTTGGGCAGGGGGCATATGTGTGCCTATGTCAGTGCTATTCATTTGTACGTCCCCAGACAGGGAGTCTTCAGATCTGAAATGGCTGTGCATGAGAGCAAAGCAGGAGAGTGAAGTGGAAACAGACATGGAGTTTAGTGGGGATAATGTTCTTCATGGTTTGTAATCCATCCTCATGGGGGATGTGAGACATGACATCCATGGTAGGTAATATGGAGTTTGCTGGAGTCTTACCAATGGGGCCCAGTTTCTTTAAAAAAAATTGTGGGTTTCAAATAGCTGGTGGCTCCAGGGGCATGTGGGAATAGGGTAGAACCAAGGTAGCCAGAAACTCCTTCTGTGATGATGCTGATGCCAGAGTCAATGGGGTGTCCTAGGCTGCCCAGTTTGTGGGTCTTCGGTAATAAGTAAAAGTTGCCTGGCCTAGGTTTGCGGGAGGTGGGAGCAGTAATCCTCTCCTGTGTTTCCAGAGTTAGCTTCTTTAAGAGTTTTGATAAAGTATCACATGAAGGCATGATTTTAAATTTTGGCAAAGTAGATTTCGAATAAATCTCAGTGGGAAAAAAAAGCAACAAACAACTTTCCTTACTCTCAGACCGGTAATGTAGTGGAATAGTCTACCCAAGGAAAGTGTGTAAACTCCTTCATTGGAGGTTTTGAAGAGGGGGCTGGTAAGCATCAGACAGGGATGATTTAGGATTAATAGTCTCATCTTCATGCTGGGGTTGGATCAGATGACCCTTAAAGTCCCTTCCATCCTATGATTCTATGACAAAAATGCCAGCGACAATCATCATGACAACCTAATTGTATCAACAACACGGGACAGTGCACACAACAGTCACCATATCTGGCCCCATTTCTGCCTCTATCCTCAATGTTGAGCTGTCCTCACTCCCCCATTTCCAGCCTGGTGGGCAGTGTGTCCTACTCACTGTCTTTCACTTGAGAATGGCAGAAGGCACAGGCATAATATTTATTCACCCCCTGTTACCATTCAGACTGCACTCTGTTTTCACTGTTCCACGGAGAGTGTGAGATCCCACCACAGCTCATTCAACCAGGTGAATCAGTGGCGGGTACCTCTGATCAGTCAATTTTCACCCTCTGAGAGCAAATCAGCAGCCTCCAGGCCGGAGGACTATGGTAGCCAGGATTGGTCAGGGGGTGGGGAAACCCTGACCACTGAAGCTCTAATCCATGTGTGGTTGAACACTTACCAGCTCAGAGTATGGCTGAGGAGTTGCAGCTCCTGGGATGCAAGCCCAATGACAGGAGAGTGAGGTCTTGTGGTAAGAGCAGAGCTGCTCCATTACTATGATCTGCTCAGCCTGAGACCCTGTTGCTGAGGCTACCAGATAGAGAATAGTTATGCAGCATCTCTCATGTAAGGTCAATGAGAACCCACCCACTTGTGCCATACAAAGGTCAAACAAAGTCCCAAGAATACTTATTGGCCTAGGACACATTCACAGCTGAGACTTAGTGGGGAATGGCCTCATATCTCATTCTCCTTATCACTCTGGGCCAGCCAGTTCATCTTCCTCTGGGGATAGAATGGATCCGGTGAGCCCTAAACATATCAAGAGACATGGCAAGCTCCTACAGTGCCCTGGGCAGAGTGCCAGCCATTGAAGAGTGGGAGTTGTGGGGGAGTCTTACCTGCCCTACCTATCCTCACCTTGGTGGCAGCTGCTGCTGTAGTAGCAAGGTCTATAGTAGCTGCTGCAGCTGATGAGCAGGCTCACCACACACTGGCACAGCACTGGGCACCAGAATGCAGCCTGCCCCTCTCCTCCTCTCCCATCCCCCTCAAGGCATCTTTGCTGTCACAGATGCAGCTCTGCATTGCCCAGTCAGGGAATCCAGCAGTCAGTGGCATATGGGGATGTGGGGTTGAGTGCAATGCTGTCCCTCCCCTGGGTTTTTGCAATGCATAGTGTATCTGGGGGTGGGGAGCAAACAGGGCACCAGGAGCAGCCCATGCTATGGGGCTGCAGTGGCCAGCGTATCAAAAGCCTATCCCTCGGCTGCAGTGGGTCCATGTTGTGTTCTGGTGTCCCCCACTATGTCAAAGTCCAGGGCTAGTGCCCTTCCTGGCCCTCTTCCCACTATTGTACTTGTGGCAGGGCACCTTTAGATGACGGCCACTTAAAGGGCAGAGTCAGGCAACTACCAGGTGCTCGATGACAGCAGTCATTTTGAGAGCATGCGATATAAAGGCTGCAGTTTGCTGCTGCCAGCCCAGGCAGAAACAGCGCCTGGCTGAGCTCAGTAGGAACATCTGGAAGGTAAGAGCAGGAGGCTCATTGGTCCTGGGCCTGATCTAAAACTGCACCCTGCTGGGGAAGGGTGGCCTGGTGGGGCTTCTGGTGGCATGGGAGCCCGCAGGAAATGCCAGGCCAGTTACCTCCCCAGTGGAAGGCGAGGAGGGGCACCTTAACCCCAGCCCTCATCTTTGGATGGCTTTGGAGGCAGCTGTGGGAGTAGTGGGGCCAGGCACAGCAAGCAGAGTGCCATCTGAGCCCAGCAGGGATGTGAGATCCCAGAGACCCCAGAGGGGGTAGCGTGGAGAGCACAGAGCATGGCACTGCACAGAGTAGCGTTGAACCTGCTGCTCCAGAGAGGGAGGGAGAGTCCCTGTGAGACCCTGGAGCACCAGTCATGGTGTAGGCTACAGTTACATCATGTGGATCCCATCTGCAAGGCATGGGCTGCAGTGTAGGGGAGGTCGGAGCCACAGATAGCGCCCCCTGGCATCAGGGCAATGAATGGGCAGTCTCCCACATTTACCACCAGTTTATGGAAACAACAAAGTCGTAGCAGGCAAGACTGGGCCATCTGTTCCATAGAGACAGGTGGGTGGCCCAGCATGAGACATGGCCCCGAGCATGCCCCCTGTCACAGTGCTACTGCTTGTATCTCACTTTTACCAGATGGTCTCTGAAAGATCAGCACAAATATAATGGACAGAGTTCCAGCTCAACTGCAGATGGCATCAGAGTCACACATACACAGTGAGTGTCACTTCCCTCAATATGTGTATACATCCCCACTGCCTGACAAAACTAAAGTTTATAGACCAGACAGGGTGCATTTTAAAAAAGTGTGCCAACTCCTATTATTTTATCACAAAACTGCAGTGTTTAATTTTCTTACAGTCCCAGATCCTGGATTCAGAAGATTTCTTCTGAGCTTCAGCTTTCATCTGAACCAAAAAAAAGTTTTCAGGTCTCGTGTTTGAAGCAATGACATTGAAAGTGTGATGCCTGGTTTCTCCAACAGTGGAACCTAATAAAGAAAGAAAGTGAGGAATTGATGGCAGTGTCTAAGCATCTTCTTGGGGAGGCAAAACAAGGACCAATGGCTGGAAGCTGAAGTCAGATTCAACATCACTTATTCCCTCGACAGTCCTCTTGGAAACTTTTCCTGGTGATTGGCCTTAATCAAATGTAAGCTATTGGACCAAAGGCAGGTAATTGGATAAAATTCTATTGCTGGTGTGATACAGGAGGTTAGGCTAGATAATCTCCTACATCAGGGGTTGATAACTATTTGGAGAAGGGCTCTACTGAAACTAAGCTCTGAGCATGGGCCATTTCCAACCTAGTTCACATTGCTGCCTTAGTCCCTGCTACCCCCCAGCAGTGCTGCCACCGTGCCGCTTCTCTTTGCCACCCAGCCACCGTGGTGGCAATGTCCTCTGGTGCTGAAACACTGCCTTTGCCCCCTTGTGCCAAAAACTTGTAGAACCTCCAGTTCCCTGGGCTGGATAAAATGGCTCCCTGAGCTGGATCTGGCCCACAGGCCGTAGGTTAACAGTCCATGTCACACATGGTCCTTTTTGGCCTTAAAATCTGTTCTGAGGGACCCTCAGATCAGATCCTCAAGAGATCTGCTAGACAGACTTTGGTAAGAGGTTGAGCACTTTCTGCTGAACCGGATGACACAACGAAGAGGAGAACAAAGACTTCTAAGTTCACCCATTGCATTGTGAGGAATGAGGTGATCTCTCAAAGATGTTGATTCAATGGAAAAATTAACCAGCCTTGAGAGAGTTACCCTACCTCCCTCTGGGGCCCCTATGTTGAGCAAAAACAAAGCCAGCATTTTCCAGACAGCACAGGTTTTGGTTTTTTTGTCAGACATTTCATCGTTCATAGGAAACGACATTTCACCTAAGTGCTCCTGAGAGGCGACTGAACGCTGCCTGAACTGAGGCTTAGGATGGAGACTGCTGGATAAGAGTGCTGTGCGTTTTTGAGTTGCTTCCTTAAGCCTACAAAGGGTGAGGGAGCTGAACAACTGGTGGGAGGATGCCAATTTAAGTATGCCAACGATTTGCTCTTTTAGCTTTCGAATAGAACCTGGAAGTCAGTGAGATAAGCCATTGCATTAGTGAGGTGACTGTTTTAACAAACCCATTTTAACAAACCAGCATCACAGGTGGCTGTTTTAACTACACTGACATTTATCAACCTAACGACTTATTCAGACCCACAGGTTCAATGTAATATTCTAACAAGTGTAAGACTTAGTCCTTTCTATAATGTTTACATTCATAGAGGAATTGGATAAAGACCACACTTAAATAGCTCAGTATTTTAAAACTTTAATCCTGGACATTAATACAACCTGTATGTTGCTAATTTTTTACGTGGAATCTAGAAGTCAGTGGGTGCATCTATATGAGACGCTTAATGTGCAGTAGCCTTGGCAGTAGCATGTCCAGTAAAAACCATACTAATAAGCTACGGCTACTGCACAGTAAGTGTCACTAAAAAACCATACGCTGGCACTACTGCACAGTAGCTGTAGTTACTGTGCATTTATTCACAGTATTCCTTAAGCAAATAATAAACTAAATGCACAGTAACTACTGCACATTTATGAATGTGTAGATGTTCCCCATATGACATATCATTCTTAATTTGGTATTTCCTTAACAAAATTGATCTCTATAATTAAAATATAGAGATTTTTTATTATTCTAATCATGGTGTACACAGAAGAAGTCTAGTCAGATACCTGACAAATCCATTTGCAACTTACAAACCCAGTTTGAGAGTGACACGGCTTGTTACAAGTTTCACAGATCCATGTGTTGCCTGAGTTGATCCTACCCAGGACCAAGGATTGATATAATAGCATTATAAATGTAATATTTTTACACATCAGGGATCACTACAAACCTTACTAAATTAAGACAATAATTTTAATAATTATAAAATCTAGACTTTAACATGGCAAGTTAATATTAATGTAACAAATTATGCAAATCTAGAGGCACACTGTTTAGTATTGAATCAATCTTTTAAACATTTTTAGGAATAATATGGTTCTAGTTCTTCATATTGTATTATTTTCATTCAACTCTAAATAATATGATATCATTATTATTGAAAAAGAAGCTAGGGGCTGATATCATACATAGTCAGGAATGTATTGGAATTCAAAGTATAAAAGGATATCACAATCATTATTGGCTTAGTGCTTCCATAACAATAGGAATAGATAGAATAATCAAATGTAGACATTAATATAACACAGACTCATTAGTTTTAAATTTTAAGTCCTGGAATTTGTGTAATCTGACTTGCTATGAAGACTGTCTGGGTCAGGGACGATCTGTTTTGGGTCTGCGCAGTGTGCAGCAGAATGGGACCTGCCCAGGGCTCCTGAGTGTTTCTGAGTGACTAATGAAAAATAGCAATGATCATTCACTAACTTTATAAGTTCATTTCACTTCTAATAAGTCATTCTTTATTTCATTCACAGCCAGGAATTGAGAGAGGCAAATCCAGGAACCTGGACTAACAGATTTTCCTCCTACATGTGAGTGTCTTCTCATCCATGATTGATGTCATCCCTGGATCTGTCTGAACAGAAGGTAAGGAGATTTGAAATGTCTCTTTGCGCTAGTTCAATTTTGCCCCACGGTCTCCTAAGGAGAAATATTGTGGGTATAGTACTCAAAGGCATCTAGGTGGTTTTGAAGTCTGAATCCCATTTTAAAAAAGGAAGTCTTGGCCAGATTAAAAAACTGGCTTATGCACCATGTGGAGAGGCACCTGTGGAGAGTCTCAGAAACACCTGACTGGTTGAGAAATATTTGAAACTCCCAGTTTTAGTTCTGGTTTGCCGAGAAGGAATTCTTCTAGGCTGGCCCTCAAAAGTAGGTCCGGCTGTGGGAAAGCCAGGCTGTCCAGCTAGGGCTTCAGTGCAGTGGCTTTTCCCAGCAAGGTAGGTGTCCACCAAAAGCTAAATGAACCTGTGGTGGGTGGATCAACCATCCTAGGTGGATGTGAGACTGTTACTTGTGCAAGCTACAGACAGACTTGTGCACATTCATGTCTGCATGCACATATGGTTTGCTTGCTGCCCCCAGCTTGAGCAATGGGGCTGTTCAGAGTGCCACTGCTGGTCCATCGCAGTCTCAATTGCAAATGCCACTTTGTTTTCAGATGTGGTGATATAGTACGAGTAGTCCTATTTCCAGTGTCTCCCAGCCCTCGCCCACTAGATCCTTCTTCCTTTCTGGGGCCAAGAATACCAGGAGTCCTGTTTGTCCTTTTCTTCCAGATCCAGGTCTCCACAATGAATCCAGAAAACACCACCAACCCTGTGACTGAGTTCATCCTGTTGGGTTTCCCTTCCCTTGAGCAGAAGAACCGCATCCTCCTATGCATTCTTCTCTCCTTAGCCTATACTGTGACACTGGCAGGCAACTTGTGCATCGTATGGGCTGTTGTGCGAGACCCCCGCCTCAGCTGCCTACCCATGTATGTCCTGCTGGGGAACTTCTCTTTCCTGGAGATCTGCTATGTCACCGCCACAGTGCCACGGATGATCTCAGACCTGCCAACCCCACAGGGAGATGTCATTTCCTTTCAAGGCTGCTTCCTCCAGTTCTACTTCTTCTTCTCCATGGGGGCTGCTGAGTGCTTCTCCCTTGCAGCCATGGCTTTAGATAGGTACCTAGCTATCTGTCATCCCCTGCACTACTCCAGCTTTATGTCCCAGCGGCCCTGCCTTGTTCTGGTGGCCTCTTGCTGGTTCCTTGGCTTTCTCTGGTTCATAGTCCCCATTGTCCTAATCTCCAAAGTCCCTTTTTGTGGCCCCAATATTCTGGATCATTTCATGTGTGACCCTGTCCTATTGTTGGCTACTTTCTGCATCCCAGCTCCCCGCACTAAACTTTCTTGCTACATCCTGTGTTGCCTCCTTATCTTCACCACTTTCCTCTTCATCCTGACCTCCTATGTGATGGTCCTTAGGGCAGCATTTAGGCTGCCACAGGGGTCTGGTAGACGCAAGGCTTTCTCCACCTGCACCTCACACCTGGCTGTGGTGGGTCTCTTCTACACCTCTGTTATGGCTACCTACATTATTCCGTCAGCCCCTGGGAGCAATATGAAGGTGGTGACACTTTTCTATGTGCTGGTAACTCCATTGCTTAACCCACTGATCTACAGTTTGAGAAACAGGGAGATGAAGGAAGCATTGAGGCGGACACTACTGGGGAAGAGGTAATGTGTTTAATATGGCTCTCAGCTGGAAAGGAGTGGTACAGAGAATAAGGCAAGGGACCTTTTCCTGCTAGAGGGCCCTTGTTCCAATTCTGCCCAAGGGCAGTGGGACTGGCTACGCCAGGGAACTGGTTCTGGGATCTAGGGCATTTGAAGTCTAGGATATTCTAGTTTTGATCCAATTAACCAAGCAGAGCATTTGTGCAATTTTAAAGAGTCACTGTATAAAACTAGAGCACAGATATTGTGCGTGTGTGTGTCCTTTGGGGGAGCTGCTCTGAATGGCTTCAGTTTAGGCAGTTACTGCGCAGTAGCATCAGTGAATGGTTTTTAGGTGATGCTGAACGCACAGTAGTTTGTTACTACGGCACAGTAGCATCATGTCACGTCATGCTTTATGCCAAGCAACACTACTGCACAGTAGTAACAAGCCACTGCTCTACATGGGTTCATGCAAGGCAGATCCTGCCTGACTAATCTGGTCTTTTTCTATGACCAGGTAACAAAGAGCTTAGATGTGAAGGAGGAAGTCGATGTCATCTTCTTGGACTTCCAGAAGGCCTTTGACACAGTGTCCCAATTCTGGTGGGCAAGCTGAGGGGCTGCGGCATTGACGACTGCACAGTCACATGGGTGGCAAACTGGCTCCAGGGGCACACCCAGAGGGTGGTGGTGGACAGGTTGATGTTGACCTGGGAGGGTGTGGGTAGTGGAGTCCCCCAGAGCTCGGTCCTTGGGCCGGTGCTGTTCAACATCTTCATTAGTGACCTGGATGAGGGTGTGGAGTACACCCTGTTCAAGTTCGCTGATGACACCAAGCTGTGGGGTAAAGTGAATACACTGGCAGGCAGGGGCCGCATCCAGGCAGACCTGGACAGGTTGGAGAAGTGGG